TCTCTCTCTCTCTCTCTCTCTCTCTCTCTCTCTCTCTCTCTCTCTCTCTCTCTCTCTCATACACGCAATATTCTCTCTCTCTCTCTCTCTCTCTCTCTCTCTCTCTCTCTCTCTTCTTTTTCGCGCTTTCGTGTAACTAAACTCAGCTGAATAGACACTACATAGTCGCAGCAGGCTCGCGTAATCGATCTCTACATCATTGATTACAGCATCGGACTTGCGGAAGCGGTTCGCCGCAACAACCGAGTTGCTCCACTGAATTTGTAGTAAACATTTGAAATTGACTTCGAAGGTGTGCCATGTACTAGATATTTACGTTTTTGGCAGTCGAGAGGTAATATCTTGGCACATAGGCTGTTTTCATACAACGTTCAGAGACTTCGTCCGTGGTAAAATTCCGAAAGAAAAATGTTCGCCGATAGAAGAAGTTATCTCTCAAGTCTCTTTCAAATCTTAATCTTCTTTTTAAGATTTTTAGATTGTCAATCGTGCAGCACGTTCATTACGTTACTATATAAAAATAAATGATTCGCATAAGCTGAAATCATTTTAGAATTATTATTGCGTAAAACTATTATTTCGTTCCTTCTGCCAAACGCAATTATAGCGGTATTACTTTTCGTTTTCAAGCCCGATGTATGTTGCGACGAGCCGATATGTACACACTACGCGTTAGCATACACACGTTTCGTTATTGATTGTATTTCGAGTCTGTCTGCAAGCTCGGTGCTATATAACAAGCAAAACAATAAAAATGCCACGGTGTTAACGGCCATCGCGCGACTAAGAGGCAGCAACATAAGCATATACCGTTTTATTAAATACTTTGTGAGAGCGAGAAACTGGTGTGTCTACTAACCTTACACGTGTGAAGAAACCTAGAGTTAACAGGCACTGATAAATGGGTCTGCAAAATAACAAACACAAACAACCACTACAACAAAGGCAAAATAAAAAATAAATAGAAAATTAAGAGAGAGACAGACGTCGGTATAAACGCGCGTAATATCGTCCGAATTTTTCTGGCTGTCACTAAAATATACGTCCTGATATTAACAAATGAAAACCGTATTAAAAAGCCCGGATTTTTCTTTTTCATTAAAAATATGTCGCGCCAACGAGACGCAGTTTCCTCGAGTAATTCATTTCGCGTTTACAGTACGGTTTAACGATCAGAATTATCGAGCGGGCTCGATAAATGTTATTAAATTTTATATTAATAATGTCAGGACGCATTTAGGTCACAAGTGCTTTCCATAGCGTGCTGCAAAAGTTTCATTTCGAACTTAACGCTGCATAATTGCGCGCAACATTATATCCTTGTTACGTTAACCATAGAAAATTACGCTAAAGAAAAAAGAAAAGTTGATAATTCAACTACGATAGAATTTGTATACTCGAACATCGAGAGAGCATGCCGAGAAAAATTGCTTTTCGTGAAAGATGCTTAAATCTTTTTCTAATTAAAGCAATGACGTTTTCAAACATTACTGAATTAGCATGAAAGCAATCCAATTACATGCGAAAATTGTTGCTAGAAATTCTTCACGTTTACGTAACATCTGGAATGTACCGATTCTCTCGTGATAAATAATATTTCTTAAATTTTCTTTTTTCACTGCGCAATCTATGTCGTTAGCTCTGCATCAAATAAACGAACTACTTATATCTTTTTCCTGAAAGCAGCTGCAATACCTCAAGATTCTAGCGCTACTCTAATTGAAACGATCTAACATTTAAGAAAGCACAGAAAAGCACAAAGAGTGTTCTTTGCATGCAACCATCGCATCCTAATTTACATTCTCCAATAAACAAAATCATTTTACGGAATCGAGGTAACATTTTTAGCGATTGTTTCTTTAAATTATACATTTGACTTTCAAATTTATTCA